ACCCCTGGGCCAGGGACTGGTAGCAGTCCATGGCCTGTTAGGGACTGAACCAACCGTACAGTAGGAGGTGAGTGGTGGATGAACAAGCAAAGCTTCATCTGTGTTTGCACCCACTCCCCAGCACTAGCATTACTGCCTCAGCTCCACCTCAGATCATCAGGCATTAGATTCTCATAGGAGTGCAAACCCTATAGTGAATTGTGCATGCGAGGGATCTAGGTTGTGCACTCCTTTTGAGAATCTAATGCCAGATGACCTGAGGTGGAGCTGAGGAAGTGATGCTAGCTCTGGGAAGCGACTGCAAATACAGATTAACATTAACAGAGAGGTTTTACTGCACAGAGACCATAATAAATCAGTTGCTTGCAGACTCATATCAAAACCCCATCAGTGAGTGGCAAGTGACAATTAAGCTGCATCTGATGGCAGGCTTTATAGTGACATGTGAGTAGATGTATTTCAGTTGTACAGCTGCATCTCATGGCATCTGATTCTGCATTATGATGAGTTGTGTAATTATTATATATTACAATGTAATAATAGTAGAAATCAAGTGCACAATAAAGGTAATGCACTTGAATTATCTTGAAACCATCCCCCACATCCCCATGGTCCATGGAAATATTGTCTTCCATGAAACCAGTCCCTGGTGCCAAAAATGTTAGGGACCACTGCCCTAAAGTACCCTGTGTAGTGTCTGTTCCCCCTGTGTAGTGTTTTTCTACCTCATTCAGGCCCCGTACTCCTACTTAGCAGATGATCTGACGTAATCATTAAAGTTAAGGTCATTAGGCATTTATGGAGCTCCTTCATCTTCCTTCCTCTTTACTTCAACAGAGCAGTATCTCTTCACTTTCTATCTCTTCTCATCCTTCTCTGTCCTTCCTCTCACTGATTACCTATACCCTTGTCCCCATCCCTTCCCACCTCCCAGCAGCTAACTGGATAAAAATCAGACTACTGAAAACAGTTTGAGCACCAAGAGAAAGAGCAGGAGAAGGTCTACAACAGCATTGTTACAGAGCTGTGTTCATTTGCAGGGAACAAGCCAGGACTGCTTGCCTGGTGGCTTCCCCGGAGCAGTACACCTTCCTCTACAGATGCCTCTTCTAAATTGCCACCAAACAGGGTGACCAAGCACACAGGTGCATATTTGAAGGGCCCATATTCGAAACCAGATCAGTGCATAAATCATATTTGAACTATGATGCATTTCTGGGCATTCTGAAACCTTGGGTATGTGTATAAGAGAGAAATAGGCACTATTATGTTTTATCACTATGTAAACCAGTGGAAGATACAGTTTATATACTATGGAATACATACATTCATACATACATATACATATATATCATTAAAAAATCAATTCACCGAGCATCATCAGTCTCCTCTCTGACTTCTTCCCTTCCCCAAGCATGAGAAATCTTCCCTATTCTGAAAACCTTTTTGTCTGCCCCTCCCTCCTCTAGCCATCATCTGATTTCCCCTCTTCCTCTTAAAGTTAGCCTTCTCCAGAGAGGGTGCTGCATCCATAGCCTTCACTTCCTCATCACTCCCTGTCCTCCAGCCTTCTGCAGAAGTTTCCAGTGGTACCCTAGATGCTAATGCCAGGCCGTTTTTCTCAGTCCTCTTTGACTGTCTCCTCTTCTGATGTCTGCTTTCCAACATGTAGCACGTGGCCATTCCTCAGAGGCTGGCCTTCACTCTTTTATTCTTTTCTTCTCTCTCTGGACATCTCGTTTCCTGTGTCCAACTCTTACACTTGTGAATATCCTCTAAATATTTATTTCTATACCCTTGTTTTCTAACTGCCTGATAGACATTTACTTCCACGTGTTCCCTAACATCTCAAACTCAATGTCCAAACCCAAACTGCTGTCCCTCAATATGGCATGGCCTTCCCCCACTTAAATTCTTATCACCGACTGAAAACTTAGCCAGCCTCCAAAGCCCAGCTCAGACACCATCTCCCCTGGGAAGCCTGCCTGAGATTTCCAACCTGAATTTAATTCTGTCCCCTGAAACCATGAAACAGTTTTTACCCAATCCAACTCCTTCTTAGTTTATGTAAGGGTGATAAGGCCCCAAACAGTGAAATACCTGCTCAGGGACACACAGCTCATGCTAAAGTTCTCCCTAGAAAGGGGCTCCCCAGTGCTCTTTCCACTATACTAAGCATTTTCTCAATGCCTTGAGTACTTCCAGCTGCTCTTCTGGCATATATAATCATATACTGCCATGTGTCTACATTGAGGTTTTGGGCCTGTCTGTAAAGTTAGAAGGACCTTGAGGGACCTTCCATGTTTCTCATATATCGCTCAGCTCCCCATTGTGCCTAATTGAGGAGTCATCACTCAGTCGGTGCTCAATAAATACTTAATGGATGAGTGAAAGAAGAGAAAGTTGCCTTATTTTCCCTGATTAGAGCCTGGCCCAGTGCAGGGTTAGACATAGACACTCACTAAGAAAACATTTATTGGTAGGCTAATGATTGGACAACTTTTTTTTTTTTATCAGGCTGAGGTATTTGAACTTTCTTCTGTAAGCTGGTTCCAGGTAGAAGAATGAAATTAGGAAAACACTGTATTAGGAGGGTTAAATCTGGCAGTGGCAGTAGAAGGAAGAAGAGTGGTGAGGCAGGGAGAAGAGAAGGGATTGGTCTAGTGGCAACTTCGGGAATTGAGAGGAAGAGACGAACAGGGACATTTTGAAGGGAGAAAGGATAAGGGGACTGATGTGGAGAAGGAAAGAAGGGGAGTATACAGGCAGGATTTTGGTGTGGAAATGGTGCTGCTCTTGAAAAATGGAGAGGGGATGGCCTCTTTGGAGGATGTTAGGTACCGTAACTACTGTGTCACATACATGGTCTCAGCCTGATTCTCAGAATAACCCTTTCAAGTAGGTGTCATCCTTTCTTATAGGTAAGGAAATGGGCATGAAACTGTTAAATCAATATCAATCCACTGTCTGATCTCAAAGATGGCTTTTTCATCCTCAGTGCCTCCCAAACATATAGGAAGGGAAACAGATTCAGAGCTAAGATTACAAAATTAAATCTGTTTGTGCTTTTGAGGTGATGGTAGGGTATCATTATAACTCTTACAGGCCTGTCACATTTTCTCTCTATTTAGATTAGGAGCATCCAGAAAATCATACTTAGATTAGGAGCATCCAGAAAATCAAAAGAACCATAAATTCTTTTCCTGTCTCTGTACATCCCAGAAAGAACTGGGTTAGATGCAGAAAAGTACTTCCCAATAGTCGGTTAAGAGGCCCCAAAATGGATGAGCCCTTCTTTGGGGGAGATTTTTAGGGAACTGTGTTTCTTTCCTCTAAGTTTCGACTTGCATATAGACAAAATACCGTCTTCCAGGTTCCTTGCAGCTCTCAGTTTCAGACAAACCTCTTATTAGTCCTCCACACTGCAGGGACAATATCTCCCTTTCTTGTGGGAGATTTTTTTAGAACTGTTCAAGACTTTTTTTTTTTAAGTAACTTCAGCTGGAGCTAAATAATTTAACACAGGACCACGAGATTCTTGGTCTGGTCAATGCAAGCCCCTTCAGAGCTCGTAGAAAGAACTCTCTTCAACTTGTATCACGTATTCCCCTGGAGCAGGTTTGGGATGTCCTTTCAGGCTTTTGTGTGCTAGGCTCTGGGCCAGGTACTGGACACACTGGTGAGCAAAGAGGACTCAGTCTCTTTCTTCCAGGAATTTACAGACAAGTAAATACACAATTACTGCATGATAATACGTGCTCTGACAGAGGAAGTACATTTCCAGTTCTCCAGTTCCTCTCTCTGAGAAAATGTACAGAGACAGTGTACAGTGAGGCTGTTCTTTTAAAAAGCCTGAGGCTGGTGTCTCCCTGGTCTCCAGTATGCCCAAGATATGTTCTATGTGCCTACTTCAGTGGATTAAGGGTGAACGATTTTTTTTTTAAGAAACTCTATACTGGTTTTCAAAATCAAGGAGAAAGGACTTTTAGATTCCATAGTTTTGGAATTATCAGCAGAGAGGCCCAAGCATTGCCCGGAGAGTTTGTTTCCTGATATCTTCACTTTGTGCCTCCCCTCTCAGTCCTGCAGGTGGCGGGATGGGGCCTATTGATCTGTATTTGCACAGAAGTGTGGACAGCACCGGGGCGGGCTTACTCTGTGCTTGCAGCTCCAACTCCCCAGCTTCTCTCTCAAAAAAGAAGTCTTGCCAGCAGGGTGTGGGCGGCCTCCCTGCAGCTGTGCTGCTCAGCCAGGCTGCCTGCTCTCGGCCCAGCAGGCGATGAACCTCTTTAGAGGCTTTGTCTGAGCCCTTCGGGCCCTCTCCTCCTAGTACTGCCTGTCTCAGAAAAGTAGGAACTGAAAGTTCTCCCTTCTCACATGCCACTCCTAGCGGCCTTCTCACTGTCTCCTCTCCTTCCCCACCTGAGGGTCCTTTCTACCTCCTCAAATGCCAGAAACACTGGCTCAGAAGCCCTCTGTCTCAGCACTGGGAAGGAGGAAAAAGACAAAAGGATAGTAGTTTTCAAATTCCAACTTCCTGCTAGCTTTCCTCAGCCTTGCTTTTAAAAAGTAATAATTATTGTAAGTAGCTTTTATTGCACACACATTCTGGGCCAGGCACCACTGTCTTAAGCATTTATGGGTCATTTAAACTTGACACCAATCCCAGGAATGGGTACTGAAGCTCCCCGCTTTGTAGACAGGCTACAGATTTTCAGAGTTTGTCATTGAGTTGAAAATCAGGAACATGTCTTTGAAAAGCCAGCTGGCTCTGGCTTCTGTTTCCTCCTATCTCCTCTGACTTTTCCCATTGAACATGAACTCTGAACCAATCCAGGAAAAGGGTAGCTGGTCATCAGAGTTCCCCCTGCAGGCCCCTCATAATGTACTAGTCTTCACTCTCCTCTCCTGATTAAATAGTGCCCCCCCGACCCCAGCTACATAAGCTTTTTCTGAAGTCCTGACACCTTATTCTTTCTCTTTTCCTTCCCTCCTCCTAGGACCCTGCTGGAATCTTTGAGCTGGTAGAGGTGGTCGGCAATGGAACCTATGGACAGGTATATAAGGTGAGACTAATGGTGCAGAAGTGTGACTGTCTTCTCTGGGTCCCTCTCAGGGGGGGTGGAAGAAGTGGGCCCCAGGTCAGGAGATTTGAGGGGCTATGAGAGATTGCAGAGGCTGGAGCCCTGGGAAAGGGAGAAAGAGGAGAGAAGAATAAAAGTAATGAGAGAAGGAAGCAGCAAGAAGTGGGATGTTTTTGCTGGACTGAGTTTAGAGCTAGTCCTGGCTGTAACAAAGAACAGACCTGGAGCTGATTGGAGTTTGAGAAAGGGACACATGAAGGCAATTGGAAGGGTATGGAGACATATGTGTCTGAGATCACCTGGAAGTTCAGAGCAGAGCTCAGGCCAAAGGTGAAGGTTTGGCTTCTCCCAAGACCACAGAGATACCCAGGACTTACAGTGGGTGGGATCTAATGAGTGACCTTCTGCATAGGGGAAATGACTTTCTTGAGCTCCCACAGCTGGCCTGTAGCACAGCTGGAGCCAGAGCTCAGCCCTTCTCCTTTTTGAGGCTGCCTCTCCCCCACGAAAGTGGCATTTCCTCAGCCAGCGATTGTAGCTTTTAGCCTGGCCAGCCCAGCCCTCTCACATGGCCTGACCACTGGTCATACTTGAATGGGGGGAGGTAGCTGCAGCAGACAGATAGATGTTCAAGGTGGATGCTGCCCCAGAGCTGGAGAACCCCAGAGCACATGTGGCTTCTTTGTCTCCAGACATGATGCTGGGTCTTTTCAAAAGTCTCCTGTGCATCTCAGGGCCCTGTTTCCTGGGTCACTGAGACCACCTGCCTTACTCTTACTCTTCCTCCATGTAAGCTTTGGGAAAAGGGCGTTCCCCTCCCCCCATTTTCCCATCTCTTGCCTAGTTGTTGCCGTGGAAATCATAGCTCTGTGTTCTACTGCCTCTTGGGGCTTGGGGTCTTGAATGACTGCTGAGGATAAAAATAATCCATGGTCTGGCAATGGATTATTAGACCCATGTTCATCCTCACAAGGGGCTGCCTTCCCTCATCCTGCTCTTCCCCAGGAAGCCATGGACTTTTCCTGTCCAAGCCTAAGATGGCTCCTGCTAGGAATTTCAGGAGGGAGGAGGGAGCAGAATGTCAGAGACATCCTTTAGAAGAAGTTTCTTCCCCATTAACACTGGTGATGGGGCCATCAACACATGTCATTAGACCCTTCTGCGTTTCCCTCAGTTCTCTAAAAATCTCAGTTCTGTCTTTATTCTTGTCAACAATAATAAAAAGCCTAGGGGTAGAGGATGATGGAGGATCTTAGGAAAGGCCTCCTGTTCAGAGGAGGCTGGTCGAGAAAGAAGCTTGTTTTGCATAGAATATGCAGAGAGAGGTGAAGGTCCTCTCTCCTCAGCCTCCTCCCCCAGCTCCCTTCAGCTCTATCTGAGGATGGAGAAGGTATATTTCATTCCCGCTCTATCTTTCAAACTGTAGGAAGTCCGAGCCAGGGAGGCTGGAACAGAATATAAGTGTCTCTCACTCATCTCCCTTGAGTGTTTTAGGAGAGGAGACCCTTCATCTTTATCAAGTGTAGAACTTGGAAATCCAGGCTTGGTATTTTTTCTGTAGCCCTATGATTGTCTGCCTCTATGACCAACCCATAAATTGAGGTGTCTAGCCACCGTGAGAGGCACTGTCTAAGGCAGAAAATAGCCAAAAGGTGTGGCCTCTCTCAGAGTTAAGCCCTTCTTGAGCATGGACCCAGATCTCTCCATGCCCATCTCTCTGTCCACAGGGTCGTCATGTCAAGACTGGGCAGCTGGCTGCCATCAAGGTCATGGATGTCACAGAGGTAGGGAGCTGCCTGGGGCAAAGGGGAGGGTCAGAACATTGAGAAGAGGACTCACCTCGCATTCACCTAGGACGAAGAAGAAGAGATCAAACAGGAGATCAACATGTTGAAAAAATACTCTCACCACCGCAACATTGCCACCTACTATGGGGCCTTCATCAAAAAGAGCCCCCCTGGAAATGATGACCAGCTCTGGGTAAGTGCCCTATGGCCTGTCTCCCTGTCCCTCTTTGCCCTTTCTTGTCTCCAAAGCTGCTTGGTTGGAACTCGGCATCAGTGCTCATAGTCTCCTCTTGCCAGCCCTCCCTTCAGTCTACACAGCCTCTCCTGTGTCCAGATTGAGGAACCTCCTGACCCACACAGAGCCCCCGACACTTTGTAGCTTCTTGTTCTCTAATGTTTTAGTGGCAGAGGTTTTGGGGTTTGCTCCCACTTTGGCCCTGACCAGTACCTTACCTTGTGTCCATCAGGTACTTCATAAGTAGCGAACAGTGTAATCCTAGCAAGGACTGGAAGAGACCACAGGGAGATTAGTCCATCAGTTCTCCTGTCTTGGCACAGCTCCTGGGAAAGCAACAGACCAAAATATTTGTGGGAGATGATGGGACTTGGACTCCTCCTGGCAGTACACAAGCCCTCTGGATGATTGTTCTAACCAGAGCTTGCTGAAGCTCTTTTGGACTTCCCCAAATTCCCTCCTGGTCCAGAACATTCCTAAGTCATTTGCCCTCCTTACCTGGGCATTGGTACCAGCTCATTCCTCAGCCTCCCTGAGTTCTCAGCCAGTCTGGAGGAGAGAGCAGCAGGGAACGTGGCAGTGGCTGGGGACAGGCGTGTTGGAACTCATGCCAGATCTCCCCTCCCAGATGAGTGCTTATTGAGCACCTTCTTTGTACCCTGCACAGATAAGCATAAGTCAGGTCCCTGCCTCTTAAGCACTTAATCTTTTTGAAGACACAGTCTCTCTTTCCACTCTCTCCCCCCACCCTCTCTTCTTTCTCTTTCTCTCTTTCTTGTACACTTAAAGAAAGGTGAGTTATGTGTCAGGTAGGTTTACCTGCCAACTGTGTGTAGTGTGAGATCCTTGAGGACTAGAAGCCAAGTGCCAGTCACTAGGCGCCCCCTTCTGGGTCTGTTGTGCATTGTCCTCCCACTGTGCTCTGCCACTGGGGCTGGGGCCCGGATGGGGAGCATATGCAAATAACCTGTATTGCATATGCGGATATCCATATTTCATCTAGACTTTCTGTTTTGGGTGTGGCTTTTTGGAAATGTACAGTGAAAACATTTGGACAGGCATGCTGATCCCCAGGGGGTGTTCCCATTTAGCACTTGCCTCTCTGGGTCTCAGTGGTTCTCTAGAGATGCCACAGGGCTCTTCTCATCTCCCTACCTTGGCCCTGCCTCTTTTGCAGAGTTTCTCCAAAGTGCTACCAGGTTCCCTCTGCAGCTCTCTGGTAGACCCCATGGACTGTTTTGTCTCTAGCAGACCTGGAGAATTGCTGATTCTAGCCCTTTTCTTGCCTCTGGGTCACAGGTTAGCAGACTTCTTCTGTGCAGGTCCAGATAGTAAATATTTGGGACTTTGTGGGCATCCTGTCTGTCACAACTACTTAGCTCAGCCATTGTAATGTGAAAGCAGCCACAGATACATAAATGAACGGACATCACTGTATTCCCCAAAACCTTTATTTAGGATACTAAAATTGAATTTCATATGGTTCTTCTTTTGATTTTTTCCAGCCACTTAAAAATGTAAAAACCATGCTTAGTTCACTGGCCATAGTTTGCTGATCTTGCTCCAGAGCAGTAGTTCTTAACTATCACGGAGTTTGGGGCTTCAGTGATGATCTGATGGAAGCATTGGACCCTTCCCCGAGGAAAATGCACATACCCACATCATTTCGTCTAGTTTTAGGAATTCCTTGGGCTCCTACTCTGGACCCAGACTTACCTTCCCTGTCTTTTCCAACTATATTCCCTTCCCCTTTTTCTCCTAATCTTAGGAAATTCTGTGGCCTTTGTGAGGGGGCATGTGGCCCTTGCCCTCCAGCTCATACCAGTTTTGGCCCCAAGCCCTCTGGTTCTCCTCCAGGGGGCCGGCAGGGGAAGGAGGCCTTGCCTGACTGATGCTTTTCCTTCTGGTGCTCCCTGGGACCATAGCTGGTGATGGAGTTCTGTGGTGCTGGTTCCGTGACAGACCTGGTAAAGAACACAAAAGGGAACACCCTGAAGGAGGACTGTATCGCCTACATCTGCAGGGAGATTCTCCGGGTGAGCGCCAGGCCACTCCCCTTGCCTCCTGCTCCTGGGCAAGGACCCTCCCTGCACTGAGGAGGAGATGAAACTGTGCTCCTTCTAAGGAGCAGATGGCCTTATGGGGGTAGAGGGTAGAGACAGAGACCCAACCTTGGGAATTCTTAAACTTGGAGACAAGCACCTCTGTTTCCAAGCTCTTCCACTTCTCCTTGCAACCCTCAGCTGCTGGGAATTCCTGGGAGCCACCACTCGAAGGAAGCTCCCCAGGAAAGCTCAGCCTGTACTTGGGCACATGGTGGAGATGGGCTGCTCCTTCAGCCCAGCCTCATCCAGACTAATGGCTTCCCCTCCCCTTATCTCAGCCCCAAGTCCTTGCCTTTTCCCACCCCCTCCAACACCAGGGGTAATTTGCCCCTCTCTCCTGCCCCAGGGTCTGGCCCATCTCCACGCCCACAAGGTGATCCACAGAGACATCAAGGGGCAGAACGTGCTGCTGACAGAGAATGCTGAGGTCAAACTAGGTGCGCAGATTCCTCCCAGGCAGATGGGGCCCTCTAACCTCCAGGACAGAATGAGAGGCTCCTTTTTTTCCCTGGTGGCTTAAGTCTCACTACCTAGAGGCTTGATCCTTTCTCTCGTTCCTTCCCTGGGATGTCCTGCCTCTTGCTGAAAATCACTCAAGAATTTTTTGCCTTACTACCTGTTAATGTCCCAGGTGCTGTGCAGGTCCATCTGGGGAGATGAGAGTTTTTGACCTGGAGTGTTGTCCCTTGGTCCTTTCTCCTTGGTTTTTCCCTAAGACATAGACTGGGTCAGGTTTTCAGGATGTTGATGGGGTGGAATAGGTGCCGAGGAGTGTCTGGGTAGGGGAAGGACCTTAGCTGGGGACGTGCGTATGCTGAGTCTGAAATGAGGGGAGCAGACGTGATGCCCTGTTATGACCCCTCCCACTATCTCCCCAGTGGATTTTGGGGTGAGTGCTCAGCTGGACCGCACTGTGGGCAGGCGGAACACTTTCATTGGGACCCCCTACTGGATGGCCCCAGAAGTCATCGCCTGTGATGAGAACCCTGATGCCACCTATGATTACAGGGTATGGAGTAGGAAGTGTGGAACATGGAGGCAGCCAAGGGCAGGAAGTGAGATGGGGCTGATGGGTAGACTGAAAATATTGAGGGCTTGAGCAGTTTGGGGGACAAATGACAGTCTAATGATATGTTAGCTCTGAGGGGTTGGGGAACATTTTGTGGCAAGTGTGGACGGGAATATTGGGTGAGTTGGAGGACAGTGCGGGGTTAGAGGAGAGGGGCCTCAGGAAGGGGTGTGGAAGTGGATCAAGAAGTGGTCCTGAAGAGGCTAGGGATGGTAGGTAAAGAGAGTTATTGGGAACATTCACCTGTCCTTCTTCTTTCTCCTCCATAGAGTGACATTTGGTCTCTAGGAATCACAGCCATCGAGATGGCAGAGGGAGCCCCCCGTAAGTGCAGAGCGTGAGAGAAAAGGGAGGACCCAAAAAGCGGCCTTAGGGAGGAGGCGGGTCACGGGAGGTCATGGTGAGGGCTTCTTCAGGCTCAGCATAGCAAAGGTACTGATGATATCTCTCGTGTGTCCCAGCTCTATGTGATATGCACCCAATGCGAGCCCTCTTCCTTATTCCTCGAAACCCACCACCCAGGCTCAAGTCCAAGAAATGGTATGTCTCTGGGGGTTTGGTATCTAGAAAGGTCTCTAGACAATGCCACCCTGCCTTAGTCTGTGTTTAGGCTTGGGCCTGCACAATAGAAGAGATGTTGGGAGGGGGCCACACTGCAGCCAGAGCATTGGGAGTTGCTGGTGTTGGGATATGGAGAAAGCAGGAGGGAAGTCAAGGTGGCTTTTGGGTGAATGATCTCCCATCTTCTTCCTGTGACCCGCCCCCTTCCAAGGGGGCCCCCTAGTGAGCCACTGTTATCTCCAGGTCTAAGAAGTTTATTGACTTCATTGACACGTGTCTCATCAAGACCTACCTGAGCCGCCCACCAACGGAGCAACTGCTGAAGTTTCCCTTCATCCGAGACCAGCCCACAGAGCGGCAGGTCCGCATCCAGCTCAAAGACCACATTGACCGATCCCGGAAGAAGCGAGGCGAGAAAGGTAAGTGGGCGAGGAAGGAAGTGATGGGTCTCAGGACACACTTCAGCCCCTGCTTCTCTTCAGCCCTTGCTCTTCCTGGTTTCACTTCATGCTCCCCTTCTAGGCCCCAGCTCTCCCTGTCCAAAGAGATCTTTCCCAAACTTCCAACCCCAGAGGGGTTTTTCTCTTTACCACTGATCCAAGTCAGTTTCCCAAATAAGTGTGGTTCTTTTACATCCTGCCAAAAGCTTTCTGTTGAGCACATGCATGTGTAAGTGTATATACTCATCCAACCACATCCCAACCACTATGGGGTCTAATCCCTGCCTCTGTCCGGGCCCAAACCTGAGACCCCATTGCTCCAAGGAGGTGGGTGGGGACCTATGTGTGTGGCCATCCAGACAGACCTTATTGGTTATCCCCATCTAAGGTTTCCCTAGCCCGGGGTGGGGTCTGGGGCACTGTGTGAAGAAACAGCAGTGATCTCCCCCCTACAGAGGAGACAGAATATGAGTATAGCGGCAGCGAAGAAGAAGATGATAGTCATGGAGAGGAAGGAGAGCCAAGGTAGGCTTGGAAGGTGGAGGTTGGGGGCCATCACTTTCTATCTGAGGGGACATCATTGGTCCTTGGCTTGGGGACTCTTAATCTCGGGGTGGTAGACACAGAGTTAGAGACCTTAAAACAATCTCTGAGTGCTGAGAAGAAATGGAACAAATGAAATGAGCAAGAGGTGGGGAGAGAGTGATTCAGGGCTGCAGGCTAGGATATTATAAGACAGGGCCCAAGACTGGGCAGTTCTCCTGGTCCTCAGAAGTGACCTGAGGCAGACTGGTCTAGGTAAATCACCTACTCAATTGGCTCCCCAGGCATGAGAATAGGAGATAGCCTAACTCTCTGGGGTCAGGTTCTGACCCCAACCTCCAACTATGCCACCCTGACCCAGCTCCATTATGAATGTGCCCGGTGAGTCCACGCTACGCCGAGAATTTCTGCGGCTCCAGCAGGAGAATAAGAGCAACTCGGAGGCTTTAAAGCAACAGCAGCAGCAGCTGCAGCAGCAACAGCAACGAGACCCTGAAGCGCACATCAAACACCTCCTGCACCAGCGGCAGCGCCGCATTGAGGAGCAGAAGGAGGAGCGGCGGCGTGTTGAGGAGGTGGGGCTGTCCTGGAAGGGCCTGGTCCAGGCCTGGCTCAGCAACCTGTCCTGGTCCCATCCCTGGTTCCCTTTGGGGAGCAGGGAGAAGAGGGAGCAAGCAGGGGCTTTCTTACCCCATTCACCAGACTTGTGTGGAAAGGCTCTGTCCTCTCTTAGAGGCTCAGCCCCCAGGCAGACTGTCCCCCTCCCCAGCCCTGTGTGGATGGTTGTGCTGTCAGCATCCATTCAATGCAGAGCTATTTCTGAAAAGCCATACCGATTCCCCAGGGACAAGACTGTCCCTGTCCTTGTTTCTACATAAACCTCCACTCTGGGTTTATCTAGCCCCGTTTACCTGAAATCTCAGGGACCTAGGGGTCTGTGTACAAACATTTCAGGCCCCTATGTATCAAACTGTCACGCAGCTGTCTGGTCTGAACATGAAGATCCTTCTAAAGACCCTCTTTTTAATTGTTTTGGCTTAAATTTGTCATTTGGACTAATTGGAGGTGGGAGAAATTCATTTTAATAGAGATCTTTTTATTTCTTTTTTTTTAGGTCGGGGTGTAGACCCTTGGTCAGAAAGATTGTGAAAGTAAAATGCAACCTGAGCTATTGATGTTTGCCAAGGAACTGGCAAAGTCTCCTCTTGATTGCTCTTCTGTGCATAGGCACCTGCTGCCCTCTTGTGGCCAAAGGCTATTATTAAAGCTCACTCTATTTGGATTTACAGGCTGAGGTTGATTTCAGAGGCGCGAGAGTGTATGTTAGGGTTGTTGTTGTTGACTATGGTTGGTTTGTTTGGTCAAGGAGTGGATAGTATAAAATATTATTCAATGTGGCTCACCCCAAGGGCAGCAGTCAGCTTCTCAGCCTCTTTGGTTCCAAGCCCACAGCTACCTTAGATAAGCAATTTTTCACAAGCCAGGACCCTGTATAGCTTCCGTGTAGGGTAGGTAGGTTTGTCCAAGCAAGTTGAAGTTATTCTCTTACCATCGTCCCTCGTGAAAAGGAGGCTTGTCCTAACTGTCCAGCAGGATTTCCCTTTCCAAGAGATGCCTGAAAGTGGGCTGGGGTCCCCCTTTCCAGGGCTGTGCTGTCTGAGTGCCTGGAGCAGTCCTTAAGACCATACCTCTCTTTACCTACAGCAACAGCGGCGAGAGCGAGAACAACGGAAGCTGCAGGAGAAGGAGCAGCAGCGGCGGCTGGAGGACATGCAAGCCCTGCGGCGGGAGGAAGAGAGGCGGCAGGCGGAGCGGGAGCAGGTACAGCGCCCCCAGTGCACACCGGCACACACCCCTTCCTTCCCTGGCCTCCCCGCCTGCTCCTGCTGCCTGCATCCCCTGCTCCCCAATACCCTTTCCCCTTTCTTTTCCTACCCCCAGATTCCTCCTATCTTTTCCAGCTTCACTCTTTCTCTCTGTTTTCTCCTACCCTTCAACCCCCAACCCTGGCTCCCTGCCCTCCTCCTGTCTCTGTGCCTTCATTCCCCATCTCTTTGCCCACCCCTTACTTTTCTCCCCTCCACTTTCCCTCATGGGTCCTGCACCCTGGCTTCCGCCTCATTCCCTGCCCTCTGCGGGGCTCATCCCATCTCCGACCTCTCTATTGCTCTTCCCTGCTCTCCTCCTCATCCTCACCCCACTGATCCCTTCCTCCTCCTCCAACTCCTTTGCCGCCGCCTGCTGCCCTTTCTCCGCCACTTCCTCTTTCCCCGCCCTTTGCCCCCCACCCAACCCCCACCCCCCAGGAATATATTCGTCACAGGCTAGAGGAGGAGCAGCGACAGCTCGAGATCCTTCAGCAACAGCTGCTCCAGGAACAGGCCCTACTACTGGTAACGGGGTCCCCCAGCTTCCTTTGGGAAGATGCATATTCAGAGCTTCTCTACTGGAATGGGATGGGAGCACTTCAGGGGAAGGGACTCACCCAAGCATCAAGGGAAGACATCTCTTCTCTAGGCAGTTGGAGGAAAGAAAGGGCATGCCGACTCTAACTTCCAGGGCCACACCCTGCTGAGCCCTCTCTCCCTACCCTTGGGCCCAGGAATACAAGCGGAAGCAGCTGGAGGAGCAGAGGCAGTCAGAGCGTCTGCAGAGGCAGCTGCAGCAGGAGCACGCCTACCTCAAATCCCTGCAGCAGCAGCAGCAGCAGCAGCAACAGCAGCTTCAGAAACAGCAGCAACAGCAACAAATCCTTCCTGGGGACAGAAAGCCCCTGTACCATTATGGTCGGGGCATTAACCCTGCCGACAAACCAGCCTGGGCCCGAGAGGTACTGCCTCCTTTGCCACTGAAGACACCATTCTTCCAGTCCCACTTGCCTGAGGCCTGAGAGCTGCAAGAAGTGGTCATGCCACACTGGCGGGCACTGAGAAGGGGAAAGGGGCTTGCAGCACAGGCCTGAGAGCTAGTGTGAGGCAGGTGGGGACCTAAATTTTGAAAACAGGGAAGCGAAAGCTAGCCAGCTTGACATCGTTTCGCATTACAGGTAGAAGAAAGAACAAGGATGAACAAGCAGCAGAACTCTCCCTTGGCCAAGACCAAGCCAAGCAGCACAGGGCCTGAGCCCCCCATTCCCCAGGCCTCCTCCGGGCCCCCGGGACCACTTTCCCAAACTCCTCCTATGCAGAGGCCGGTGGAGCCCCAGGAGGGACCGCACAAGGTGAGTCTCTCCCTATTCCTGC